GCAATAGCGGGGCCACAGTAGGTCGCTGCGACCTCACGAAAATGCGGAGGAGGGGGCAGACGAGAGGACGACGACGAGGGCCGCCAAGAGGACGACGTGGAGGCCCGGGACGAGGGCGAGGGCCGGTGATGTGATGCCGCCTCCGGGAGGAGTCGACAAAGGGTGAGGACTGAGATCGAGTCCGTGTAGGCATGAGGCGCGGGAAGTCGGGCGAGTGAACGAGCACCGTGGGACAGGACGTCCGAGGGTGTCGCGGAGGAGGAAGGGGACGGAGTGCGCGAACGCGGAGGAGAGGACTGAGCGGAGAGACGATAGACGTCGATGAGGGGGCGCACACGGGCGCTACGTCGGCGATGGGCGGCGTGTACGAAGGCGATAGGCGGCGGCGACGATACGATGTGGAACGAGGTCGTATAGATGCGAAGGCGAGAGATGAGCACACAGCATTCACGTGTAGACAAGGAGGAAATGAACTGAGCTCACGAGTCTGTAGGGGTCTGCAGGTGGGAAACGTTGGAAATTTCGCGTTCAGACGTCCAACCTGTGCAGACGGTTCTGATCATTCCAACAATATTGGTGGCGGTAATAATGACTGTACATATCGCGGCAGGTTACACTATGATCTCAAGCGGGCGAGTGCGCGGTGAGCGCCGCAGGCTCGTGCCGGGACGGGACGCCAGAGGACGTTGTAGGTCACCAGTGGCCAGAAAGGACGGGGGTGACCTCGTGCTTAACGCCGCTGAAGGAGGCGACGTAGGCAATCGCGTCGTTGCACCTCGCCAGGTGCACGGCGGAGCATCATCGCCATCGCATTCCCCAAGCACGCCGTGGGCCCATGTTCCTTCAGTCGCTCGGCCCGTCGGTGCGACCTACGTGGCTGGCAGACGGCAGCCAGCCGCGTGACAGCATCCAGCTGGTGAGATGACTTGGAAAAAGTCTACGTAGCTGCGAGCTATGGTGAGATCAGCACAACAACATAAAGGAACCAGGCTCACAGAGGGGTTTCACGACCGTAGTAAGGCCAGGGCTGGTCTGAAGGCAGCTCGAGGATGTCGCTGCAGAGCGATGACGGCTGCTCCGTGTGTGTGGCCTGGGGCTCCCTCAGTTGAGGAGTCTCCAGGATGTAGGTCAAGGTGGTCAAGGAAAGATGTCACGCCTGCTGTCACCTGTACAAGCGCGTGAGCAACTGCACATGGGAAAAAAATCGACGCGTGCGCGAAGGCTGCTCACCAGAACATCTTGGGACGACGCACGCGCGCATTCAGACGTGCCCTCCTCCGTGTCGTGCACGGGCTCCGTCGTGTTGTGCTCGAGCGCCGTCTCGCAGTGCTCAGGCCCGACGATGTCCTTCACGCATGTGTCGCGCATCCAGCGCGTTGATGTCACCCGTGATCTTGCCTGCTGGAGCGCGACAGCGTCAGCGAAGGGCGCACGAGTGCGGCGACAAAGTGATAGTACTCACGGAGGTTTGTCCGGGCGAGATGGATAACGCGGGATATGCTGGGGGGTGCGGACGATGCGGGCTAGGTGTGCGACACAGGCGAGAGGTGTCGACGGCGCGGGCGAAGTGGCGACACGGGGAATGGAGGCCACACGGTCTCGACACGGCAGACATCGTGGAGGCAGTATGGCGATGGCGGGGTGAATGGAGAGGCGTCCAACCGGTCCTTAGGTGGGTCGTGACGTCGTGTTATTGTGTTGATGCCATTGCGGTCACTATCGCGGCCGCCGCTCAGACGGATACGGGTGGATCGCGGTTAAATCACATAGGGAAGAGGGGAAAGAGAACAAATGGATGGTCAGTAAGATCTGAACTGCCTGCCGTGGACAAAACAAAAACGGAATGAACACTCACCGTGCAAGACGGGCTTGACGTCGCACTGGACGCAGGCGGCAGCGTATGCGAGAGCGACAAGTCTGCTCGCTCGGTATGGACATGTGGAAAGGCGGGAAGCGAGAGAAGTACGCACCAAAATCGCCGACCACAGCACCCCTGCGATAATTTTGGACCTTGTGTGTGTATCTCGAGAGCACAACCGCACGCCAGACCACGGCTGTGTCACTGATGGTGGCCTGCAAAGTGAACACGTTAGTTCTCACAGTGGCTGAAGGTGGTCAGGGTTATCGCGTAGACAGGACGGAGAGCCAAGTGGGCGACACACATGCCAGCAATGGCCTGGGGAGGTGGTGGGCGAGGTGGGGAGCGCACAGAGTGGGGGACTCACTAAGAAAACCAGGGCTGCAACGGCTCATCTGGAAAGCAGGTGGCGAGGGCTGCACTTGCGTGCTCTCTGAGGACGTTGCGCCGGGAGAAGAAAACAGGAAGGACGGGGAGGACGGGAGGACGCGCGACGGCGAGTCAGAGACGCGTGGGAATCGACGCGCGTTGCGTGGACACCGGCGCTTGACTCCGCCAGCCATCTCTCTTTCTCTCGTCCGTCTCCTTCCTCTTCTGCGTCCGACTGCCTCACTAACCTCGTGCGGACCTCCATGCGTCTACCGCAGCGGCCTCTCATGACGATGCACCCGGCCGCACCACCTCCTTCGTCCCCACACCCCCAGCAAACGTGCGCGGGACGCTCTTTCCCCCGGCGCGGCCGTTGCCATTGTGTCGCGTATAGCCGCATCCGCCCGCCGCAACGCCGTGCAGCACTTTCCCCCTGATGGAACCCTTGTACGCTCTCCCTCCCGCATACTTGCGGCTGGGGCTGGACCCGGCCCGTGACCCGCAACACCCCCGGCTTCTTCGTGGTATGTTCCTCTTTTGTTTGCTTACTTCTTTGTCCGTGCTCATCCCCATTTGCTCTTGATCTCCTCACCTCCTGCACCCCGGCCCGTTCCTACACACACACATGGCCTCTCTACCCACGCAGCTCCCCCACACTGAGGCCACCGTTACCACCATCCTCTCCAGGTCCCCTGTCCTCAAGATCATTGTCTCTCCCGGCTCGCCCCTCGATTCGTTCTATGACGCCGACCAGAAGCTGGTGAGGCTCAAAGCCACGTCCCCGAAGCCGTGCCATGCTCCCCGACACCCCTCTCTGTGATCGTCATAGGGAACCAGTCCGATTACGGCGCCAAGCCCGGCTCCTCTTCCTAGTAGGACGCTTGGGGCGATGCGCGCACAGACCGCATGCAAAGGTACCGATCGCCTTATGGTCCGCCTGCCCGCGCATTACTAACTCGCCCACTCTCCTTCCCCGGGCTGCCCGTGCAGGGTCAAATGCGACCTGAAGGATCTCCCGATACTCGCCTCGGGATAGCGCGTGCCGTGCTCCAGCTTGTAGTGAGTGTGGTCTTGACTGCGTGTGCGTACCACGATTCCCCGTCCGTGCTGTGTCCCCTCCCGCTCACAAACCTCCGCTCTGATCAGCGATGAGTTTGCCGAGGTCAAAGCGTCGAGCTACGTAAACAGAAGCGCCACCTCCAGAATGTGTAGTGAGTCCTCTCCTCCACCATGCGCCCCGTCGTGCTTGCGCTCATCCCCGCCCTCCGTGCAGGGCCGTGTACAGCAAGGCGCCCAAGGAGGACGCGGTCCCGTACACTGCCATCGTGCCCCAGAGCGTGATCCGTCAGCTGAAGCCCGACTGTTTTTAGGTCGCCCTTCTTCTGCCAGTTTCACATACAACGTGAGCCAACCACCTTCTCCGCCACCGCACCAGCGATCACTCACAGACGCTGTGGCGCCACTAAACCCCACTAGGACCCATCCTACAGGCGCTAGCGCTCGTCGTCTGGGCCGCAAGCTGCGGCCTCGACGAGGGCGGCGAAGAGGTGCCCGAACTACGCTGTGATCGTCCTGCCGCGCGTTCGCTTCCTGGAGCCACGCGTGTATTTTTTGGGGAGGGACTGGCACCGCGTGTGTGCAACATGTAGCAGCGATGGACGGCTCGACGCCCAACTCGAGTCACCCTATCGCGGCGTCACTCCGCTACCAGGTATACGAGAACGCGGTGTGGGATCCATCGGCCACCGGCCGAGCGTGTACATCTCGTTAGGCCCTGGTCCCGCCACCAGCCACAATGGTAGCCACAGGGGCCAGGGCCGGCCTGTGGTGCACTACCAGTTCAGCGGCGATGGTGAGTACGGCATGGCAGGCGCACAGGGGACAATGACGCGACGGCCACACGCACATGGTTCTTTGAACGCACTCGTTTACTGCCTGTAGTAATTTCGTAGTCACGATAATGTATTGTTCATGCAAATGCGGCCGGCACGAGGGAGGGACTGGCAGGTGCATGTAAACGCAAAGCTCCGGAAGCCAAATAGTAGATGATTGAAGCAAGATATGACTGACTAGGTGGAGATATGAGAGGCTGGTCGGGGGAACGCGCATTGCGCGGAATCGAGGCGGGGGATAAGGTTACGCAAAGGGCACCGGCGAAGGCGAAGGCGAGGACAAGGGCGAAGGAGGAGGCGCGGGCGTGGGCGTGGGCGTGGGCGTGGGCGTGGGCGTGGGCAAGGTTGAGGCGAACCATGATAAATCATACATGCCACATTCACAGTGCGGATATGTATGGACGAACTTATGAGAATATGCCGAAGCCAAGAAACGAAAACATACAAAGCTTCAGAGACAAAATATGACAGGGGGACGAGAAACACAGCCAAAGGGGCTCGAGAGTGTGAGCTGAAAAGGAGGATGCGGGTAGTGGAGAAAAGGAGAAGAAATAGAAAGAAGATAGAACAGAGGATAATACAAGACGTACGAGCAAGGATTTCGGGGGCAATTGCAAGAGGAAATGTGGAGTCGTGCCGCAGATCGTGCAAATCAAGAGGGTACAAAGTATGTCGCGGTGCGTGCGTCTTGAAGGGTGTGCTGCTCTGTCAATGGGTGTGCATGCAAGATGTGATAGGCGAGGTGCGGAGGACGAGATGGACGACGTCGCGTGGAAGAGCGGCGTGGATGGCGGCGCGGCGTCAGACTCTGGCTCCTCAACGTCGGCACTGTATCCGGTCTCTCCTTTCAAGCCTGCAACCTCCGCCCGCCCGCCGCGTCTTTAGCGCCCTGCTTTGCGGCGCCCGCCATAACCGCCGGCCTCAGCGGCAGCGGCAGCCTTCGTGGTCATTTTCTTGGTTCGAGGCTCCCGTCCTTGCACAAGTCCGACCGCAGGTTCCGTCGGCGGCGGCGGGATGGGTCGAGGCTTTACGCGTTTTCCGGTCTTCTTTGATCCGCCCCGGACGTCGGAGGGCCCGGCCTGTGAGCGGCTTCCGTTGGGATTTTGAACCCCCTCCCAACTCGGGCCCCCAGCGACCTTATCTTGCGCCCGATGCCGGGGGTTAGATCCAAGGGGGGACGTCGTCTCTGTGTTCTCAATATCAAGAAGGGGTTCGTTTTTTGGGGCGGATGGAGTGGACCTTGGGCTGAGAGCCGCCGGGCCGTTTCGGAACTGGCTCTGACAAATGGAGATAAGGCGGTCGAGGTAGGTGTGGTCCAAACCGCTCGTCGCCAGATAGACAGGCCCGTCTGCATCCGGCTCATGATCGATCGCCTCCTTCGCACTGCGCAGCAGAAGACCCATGGCTAGCGCCCATCGTTGAACCTCCGCGGCGGGGGCATCTTGGGAGAGTGGGGTGCCTAGATAAGCCAACACGGGGGGAAGAGATCTGTCACTCTCTAAATGCAAGGAGACGTCGACGCTGCCGTCAGAATTATTCCAAGTGGCCCAGGGGACTCGAGGGTCGGGTGTGATATGTCGCTTGTCATCCAACTGCGCCGAGTGAGTGGTTCGAATAAAAACAGATGCGTATAGGGACGAACCTTTACATGTAGACGATGTAGGACGTGTTTCCAGGAATCCACTCCGGGGGAAAGTGAGATGAAGTATTGCAGCAAATTGTCCGGGGTCTTGTTTCCAGGCGTCCTCAGCCTCTCTGCAGAGAGGGGCGGTGCCATCTCGAGAGACGGCTTGTGGAGAACGGCTCGCCGCTTCTCTATTGATTCGCTATCGGAGAGCGAGTTGTCCCGGACCTTCTTTCCCTTATTCTTCGACTTTTGAAGTGCCAACACCGCCGAGGGGCTGAGGGGAACATCATCTAGATCGGTATCATAAAGTTCGAGCTCGCTTTCATTGCCGAGAAGCTCAAGCTCGTCCGGAATGAGCTCCGCAGCATCGGAGTCGTCTCCGTCGTCATCGTCTTCGTTATCGTCATCGGAGTTGTCCCCGTCGTCCCCATCCGATGTGACGGCGTCGGCCGGCGGCCGCGCCTGGCCGGCGAACAGGCCGCCCGAACGATGGGATTCCCGGCTCGCTTCTTCCGAACTTTCTTCAGCTTCATGGACGTCGACCTTTGAAAGCGGGTCGTCATCGATGGGGCCCCTGCGGAGCCTACGACTCTGTTTGGGTCGGCCCCGACGCTGAGACGGCTTTTGCCGATTTCTTCCGCGGAGAGGCGATGCTTTCGAAGACGGAGAAGAAGATTGTGACGACTGAGTCGAGGCATCGCGCTTTTTTGGAACGGGGTCTGCAGAGCTCTTCCTGTGTCCGTCCGCAAAAAACCGACGGCTTTTCCGAAGACTATGGGCCGGGCGATGCGTTTTCGAAGGGAGGCCGCCGCTGCGGTCCGGACCACCCGTATCCCCATCGCTCGTCTGATATTGGTCAATGACGGGAGCATCCGAGCGGTCCGGTCCCGATGGCTTAACATAGTTGGCTGGCTTCCAGCCTACGTCGACTCGGCTGGACTTATCCTCTGCGGCAAGCAGACGAAACCGGCGTGGGGTTCCGTCCTCAGCTTGTCCAGAGGCCTCGAGGTCGACTATGTGTTGAATGAAAGCCTTCGCCTCGGCCACCTTGAACCTGTCTGGCGTTTTGAAGACAAACCCGTCCGGGAGCCATTCTTGAGCGAAGAAATGCTCCTGATTTGCTACAAAGGCGGACCATGAGGGGTGGGCCGTCCAAACACCGTCGCCAGACGCCCAACCTGACTTTGTCGATCAATGGATGTCAGGGGTTCCGGCAGATGGACGTACTCAAATGTATCCGAATATACTCCTCGATCATTTTGATGCGCCGTGAGTACGTGAAGCTCTTCCCGTCATCCTCCGTGCAGCGCAGCTTTGGTAATCCATCGTCGTAGAATTTGAAGAAAAGGGGCCGGGGAGCGACGGCGCTTTTCAGCTCTTCCATGGCCTTGCGGGTCTCCTGGGGCAAACTGTCTGGATCGATGATGGCCCCGAAGTACGATTTGAAATTGTCGTCGAAGTTCTTGTCCCAGCCGTCCTGCTGCGTGAAGACTGCGAGCGCCTTCGCTCTTGTTTTGTACTCCTGCAGGAGCTCCGATGTGTCGAAGCTGATGGGGTGTGGGTAAGAACGCTTCCGCGGTGAGGGTCTGAAGTATCTCACTAGAATGACGCATGTTGGCCCTCTTCATCCTTGAACAAACCCTGGATATATATCGCGGCGTTGAAGGATCGATGGAATGTGAGAACGACCGCCCGACAATACCGCAAAGAATGCCGGCGGAGCAGTCTGAAATGGTCGCCGTTGGAAGTGGAGGTCACTGGGAAGCGGGGCGGCTCACTTTATCGTAACATCTTCGGGGGCGCCTTTATCGGTCCAGAGCACCGCGGCGCGATTGTATTCAGACCGCTGATACTCAGTCAACTCCGTCCATAAGTCCTGCCGGGCACGCGTCCAGGCTGAGATCCACCGTTGATCGGTCTTGAATTGTTCATCGTTCAGGGCGCGGGCCCGAATATCAGCATCGGCCTGATAGCCGAACACCCGTAAGCCGGTGAAGGGACGTAGTGAAAAGAACGGATTCTTGTCTTGCTTGGACCCGAAGCTGTTGTTATGCATAAATTGGGAAATCTTCTGCGTGTCATCGTTGTCAGCGACTGCCGTTCATCCGCCTGTATTCGAAGCTCACCTCCATCAACAGGGTGATCAGAGTGCTGCTCGGTGCTTCCGACCGCCCTCGGATGATATCGCCGGCCAAAGCCTCGTTGATGGCCTTCCGAGCGTTGCTATTTGTCTTCCACCGCGGCAAATGCTCAAGGAGCATATTCTTCTCCTCTTTGGTTAAGTTGAATTTGGCCCCGAGAGATTTTTCGGCCGGGTCGACGGCATCAACCGAAGAGCCGACCTCCGATTCGTCGCTGGAGGCTGGCCGGGGCAGGATTTGTCGGGATGATGCTCGGCGGGGCATTGTGATCGCGATGACGGAGCAGGTCGGCGCTTGCACACCCGATGCTCGGGGCCGTTTCGACCGGAGCCCGGACCGCCCGACATTCGTCGGCGCGGGGCGATACGCCGGCGTTGCGCGGGAACCAAGCCGTCCGAGCCCGGAGGGGAGGCCGCAACGCTGCAGCCCTAGACCCTCGCTCCCCAGCCCCAGCCCTACTTGAGCAAGATGCCCCCCCGTAGGGCCCTCGTCAGTAAACCCTCCAAAAAAACTTCCACCTTGAGACGACGCAAGTCGAACAGGAACCCTACCGGTGTTGAATATCGGGTCGTTGCGCTCGACCGCCGCCGCCGATCTCCTCCGACCCCCGATCCCCGCCCGCCAAAGAAGCGGCTCATAGCCGACCCCAGAGCGGCTGACATCCCTCATGATGTAGCCGAGCTGCCGTCTCCGGATCATCACTTTATCGGCGGTGAAGTTCGTGACGGCCATGTAGCGTCGGGGATGAGTAGGAAGTCGGTGAAGGTGAGCCCCTCAGCCCGCCCGCCACAGACCATAAGTCCGATCAGTGCATCAGCGAACCAACCATGAAGCAAACTTCTTGAAAGTCAGGGATATATACATGAAGACCATTATGCAAGGATATGGGCCCCTCCCCGGCAGCCGCGCTACCTGCGGGCATCGTTTGGAATTCCGTTGTCTCGGATGTTCCGGCCGCCCCACTTACTGCTCTTCATGCCTCCGAAACACCCATGCCATCGATCCATTCCATCGTATAGAGGCCTGGGTAGAATCGATGTCTTGCTATCGCCCGGCGTGGCTCCAAGAAGTAGGTTTGCAAATACACTGCGGCCACGGCGGAGAGGCCTGTCCGTCCTTGGCGAAATTCGGCGGCTCGTTCTCTGAAGGCGCTCCTAAGACGACAACTTCGGAGCCCCGCGACATGGGATATCCTGCCGACGAAGATGAAGACGAGGAACTGCCAGAATGTCTCATTGGAAATCACCCGGAGGCGCTTGAAGAAGGCGGATCGGCCGAGGCAAACATCGAGCCTCTCGCATCTCCCCCAAGAATACAGGATGCAGACGTGATGAAGGCGCATTTCCCCTGGACAGTCTTTCAGTCGCGCACCTTAACGGTTGTTCACACCAGCGGTCTGCATCGCTTGTCGTTCTCATTTTGCCGTTGCGAAAATGCAAAGACGGAAGACCTTCAGCTTCTTGAGCAAGGTTACTACCCCGGCTCACAACACCGGCCGCGCACCGCTTTCACCTTTGCATTTCTAGACGATTTCTTGATAGAAAATCGTGTATGCAAAACGTCTCCGATGAGCTATCATTCGAAGCTCTGCCATCTCACAGATGACATGTTCTCACATTGGATTCCGGTTGGTCAACAGATCATACTATCCCAAATTTTATATGCTCATTTCGCCTAGATGGCCTACAAGGCCCTGCTTCGTGCATCACGACAATGGCGGAATATTAAACTGCTTATGGATTCCGGACACGCCCACGAGCCCGTTCCAAATGAGCCAGGTTGCTTCGCGTTAAAATGTCCTGCTTGTCCGAGGCCTGGCGTTAATCTCCCCGAGGGATGGGAAAATGATTCTCGGAGGTGCGGCTCCAGATCACATGCTTCGAAAAACTCCAACCTATTATATCATCAGATTCTTGCACATGGCGTCCTTTGTACTGGACGGCAACTTTACAGCGCAGCATCGGCACATGAAGAATCCGGAGAACGACGTGCAGTTCGCAGACGGACAAATATTCACCGTTGGTCAGGGTCCGTTCGAAGCGCATCTCGCAAGGGAGGGAAAGCTCCCGGCAATGGTAAGTCTTTGGTTTAGTTGCCGACGTCTGATATGTTCTAATATAGACCTAGGCCCAAAAGTCTACCTGCAACGCACACAGGGCGGTTCTTGGCGCCAACAAGAAGAAGGCTAACCTGGAAACAACGGGCATTGGAGCGGCGGCTTGTTCACGACACGGTTTTTTTCTGCCGCACACATGTGTAGACTTTCAACGGGGAGAAGCGTGAGTGGTCTCAGCGGTTGGTATCTTGTACAGCAGTTGGCTCACGAAAATACCGCTTAGACAAGCGAACATGGACTATTCATTTTTTTACGCGCTGTCGGCCTTTCCAGGGTTGATGATATTCTTGGTCTTATACGACATTGCATGCCAGTACTGGGTCAATCTACGCAAACGGTTTTCTCGAAGGAGAGACTACATGAAGCTGCCGGACGATGCAAAATTCTTATACGGAATCGGCCAATTCCACGTCCATGGACATCGACAAGAGTGCTACTCTCGTTTCTCCCCTGCATTTGTCTCCGGAGCTGGAATACAAGACGGCGAGATTCTGGAAACCTTATGGGCCTCTCTGAACAAGATCAGCGACAGCACGCGAGGCATGGCTACATCTCACAGGAAGGAGATGATTGACGACCATATGTGGTATTCAAACTGGGTGAAATTGACCCGGATGGGTATGTGGATTGCCGGTGACTCAAGCGACGTGCGCTTGTATGCTGACAAGATCTGTTTGCAGATATATCTCTCGGCGCCCGGTGGAAACGCGTCACTGAGGAGCTGGGACCTGCTGAGATGGCGCTAGACAGTATTGCCGAGAAGGCGTCTCCGGATGATATTGCCGCCTGGGAGTCTGAGGCCAAGAATGCCGATGAAATTCGCTCTCAAAATCCCAATTCAATGAGGCTGTACCAAATGGATGTCAAGGATCGTATGTCGATTAATTCTTTGCTGCGGCGTCAATGCTGATGGGATTGAGGTAGTCCCCACCCGTGATCAGATTCAAAAGGCGATTATGGAGGCTGAGAGAGCCGAACGTGGCGCCGGACAGGGGGAGGCCTCGTGGCTTCGCAGCGGCTTAGATATCCAACGTGAACAGTGAGCGGGCGGTGTTTATGACCGAGCCCACCAAAAACAAGGCTGACTCGATGTTTTACAGGCTATCTGTGGCCTATACCGCTCGCACACTCCAACCAGACCCCTCCGGTAAAGCCGAACTCGCTCTGGAGAATCAACGTCAAAAACTGCTGGAGAGCATCCGTGTCTTCAACAAGAAGGCGGCAAATTTTCTACCCATCTCTGCTGTCATGCTCGACTATGATACCGACAACTTGGGCGACTTACTTTTAGGAGAAGAATGGGACGATGATGCAAACGCTTCACACGGCGGGGCTTTCGACAAGTCTGCAGTCATTGGGTTACCAGAACATGCCACGCTCATGCTTCCTTCTACCCTCGGCTCTGAATGGCTTGAGAGATACGAACTTCAATCTCTCGCCAAAAAGGAGCGCGAATTACGAAAAGCCGAAATGGACGACGCGCTGCACGCCATCAAGGTCGGAGTCGGGTACAAGTCTCACCTCTACTTTGCAAAGGTTCGGAGAGCGTCCTCTACCCAGGATCGTTTGCGGTCATTGATGAAGTCAACCTTGCGGAGAGAAACTTATCCAAACATGTGCGCATATACCACCAGGCACGGGCCGCCTTTCTCGAATTGCTCGCGCTGGAGCCTGACCGTAAGACGCGCAAGAAAGCATCCGCTCCGTACAAAACCATCTTTCCATCCGACTTACAAGTGAACACGGCGCTGGCTGAGCCGTTCACGCACGGTCTTCGGGATTGGCACACGTCCTGGATATGGACATTTGGCGAGGTATCGCCCGCTTGGGAGAAGAACCGTAGGTGGACTCTCCCGTAACCGGCGACTTATTAACGCCCCCGCTTAGTTCGAAAGTCCTTGTGGCTCCGCGCTTACGCTCGAAAGTGTCGATGGAGCGAGGAGAAGGTGTTGGTGCAAGAAGAGATGAATCGGGTGGTGAAGTCATTGGAAGCTGCAGCTCAAAATTGGATCAGACTGTCGGCTTTGCACGCCAATGATCCCGGGTACACAGTATTTGCCAACGGCAAAGCCCTTCGATGGCAGGAGCTAGCAGACAGAATGGGGGCCGCGTTTCGAGAAGTACTCATCCGATATACTTTGTAGGCGGAGACATGGAAAACCAGAGTTTATCACGTCCTATTAGAACACCATCCTACGCATCATAGACTTTTCACATTCAGCATGTTCGTCGGAAGCACAGCGCATGCGCGCACACGCCGGGAGGCTCCTGCGCCGGTATCATACGGCCGTTGCGGCATCGAGCGCCGAGAGAACGGGCCGCGGGGATGGCGTTGCGAAGGCCGCTGGCATGACGGGTGCATGCACGACCGGCTTCTGCTGGGCACCGTCGGCTTGCCGGAGGCATCTTCATTAATCTCGACGCCGGCGTCTGGCGAATCGGCGGCGTCGGCGGCCGACGCCCGTCTCATTTGCATCGGTCAGACGGGAGGTCTTCCGATCGGTCGTTTACGAGCCCCGCACCGCGTCGCATCGGACGGCGATGCGCGAATGATTGTTAGTCAGCCCATATCATCCTGCGGTGCACGCTTGCCCCGAAAAAGAGTTGTCGAGTGCGACCGGACACAAGGTTGAACGTTGATGTCCGTATAGCAGGTCGCCGGATGCCCGGTGCAGCGCGCGCTTCATGCTTGCTTAGTACCGGGCGTTTGCCGGGCGCGCCTCACAAACCCAACGTATAACTACTCAATATCCGGTAGGAAGCACATCAGAAGAAGCTACATATGCGGTGTATTAAAAATGCGTAGAAAATAAACATGTGGTGTCAGAATGAGGTTGATGATGTGTTTGGCGTCCGGCCCTCTCCGCGCACGTCTCGGGCTGATGCAGGAAACGGCCGTCGTGACGGCAAAATTGGAACCGACTCACTGGTTATCGACACAAGACATGCGCCCCCATGAGCGTAGGTCTTCTCACTGAGATCGCCCTCGTACTTATGCAGCAGCGGGATGCACACGACCTGCTGCCGGAGGTTGCTGAGAGCCAGTCGAGCCGCCAAAATATGAGCGCCTTCGGTCTAAACAATCTATGGGGGGTCGACGATTGGAATCAGTGTCCAGACTCAGCGCTCAGCGCAAAGGGAAAGGGGAGGGAGGGCATACTACAACCTGCCTGCAAACCAGCCAAAAGTGCCGGCGGCATCCGGGTGCCGAGCAACGCAGAGACGGTGAGCGCAATGTTGAAATTCTGGCCTGAGCGGGACGTGGTGAGAACCGGGCGGACGGAGGAGGAGTGGGTCGGTATGTACAAGATCCAGAGCAGTCGCTTGCGACAAACCGACGTTGCTGCGAACTGCGCGTGGGCGACGGCCTCGAGCCCGAGATTATGCCAATGGACGAGGCGGACGGAGGTACCAAAGCCGGAGAAGAGACGCGGTGAGAGGAGGAGGCGGATACGTAGGTTGCGGCGGGGTGTATCGGTTGGGCGTAGGGGGCGGACGCGTTCAAGAGCGGGGCTGAAGACGCTAGGGGAGGCGCCCATCTGAGAAGTCGCATTCCCAAGTACTCCCGGCCTCGGTACCAGCGTCGCTGCACCTGCTGTCTGTCAAAGATTAGTGCTCTTGTTGAGCCGAAAAGTTGCTGTCTACCAGGATGACGTTTCCAGACGAGACGAGACTGTGCAACTGTGCTTGAACGGGGTTACGGCGTAAAAACGCACATCTCATGGCGATTGGTCAGAGTTTTCCGCTGATAGCGACACTGCATGCCGGCGCGTCGTGTCTTGACAGGGACCCTTGTAGATACGATGTGTAGGGTCGACACGAGCTGAGACCGAGTACGCCCAGACCCGGGCGACCGAGCCCTACAGGACGACTAGCGCACCCAGTACGACGCCTGCTCAGGGCCCAACAATACCACCTTGTGTATACCGCCTATGCAACGGAACCCTGCTGACCTCGACCTGGTCCGGGTGGACGGCTCCTCCGCGAAAACCGGGTGAGTCCGGCCGGACGACTCCCCTGGGAAAACCGGGCGATTCCGGCCGGACGACTCTGCCGAGGTAACCGGGTGAGTCCGGCCGAGCCCGGGTGAACGGTAGTACCTTCGGCAAATGGCGGTGTCCCGGCTGACCGACTTGATCGGGGTAACTCCGGGACCTCAAGTGCCCCAGGTTCTGACGTCACGCCGCGAGCATCGACGCGGACGCCGCCGTGACGGTCGACGCACCATCGGGTTTCAACGTGTCCGCCCGGGACAGCGACTGCAAGCCAACGCGCCGCGACGGAGCCCCTCTCCCGGACAGCACTGGGCGGCGTGACTCCGTGCCAGCGCATCTTTTCCGTGCTGCCGCAAGGTGAGTAGACCGGCTCCTCGCGCTCGTCTGCTGCTAGCCCATCGCTTCTGCGCTGCTCCTCCTTCTCCCTCAGCGTGTCGAGTCGGACCCTATCAGAATGTTCAGCTCGCGCTCGAGCCGCCCCGATGACTCAAACCAGGGACAGATTCGTACCAATGGGTACAACGATCGACTCGTCATCCGGCACTGACGTCCGTTCTTCCGCCTGAGGACCCTGGCGGAGATCCGGGCACTTTTACGTTTCGCCCAACAGAGCTGATTCATTGCATTTTTACCCGTTTGGCGGCACTGACACTGCATCCACGGCGGCGCCCAGTGACCCCTGTCCGACGTCACTTGAAAGGCTCACTAGTGGTACCAGCCACGACGCCATCGCCGCCGACGATGCGGCTATCGCTGTCGTGTGTCTGTCACTCCAAGGTCTCCCGGGGGAGATGTCGTCCGTATCGTGAGCACGGACGCTTGTGGTTGTGATACCGAACACAGTGCACTCGCCGAGCACGAACGACTCGTGCGGACCGGGGTAGGCATGCGCAGGCCGTGCTTGCGCAAATGCGCCAACCACAGCTTTTGAACCAGTCCCAGGCTCCAGCAGGGCCTGCAAGACTCCTCGTTGCGGCCCGATGCTGGAGTTCTCTGCCACGTTGTTGCGGACACGCGTCGGGAGACGATCCGTCGCTCTGTTAGTGAGTGCGCCGTTATCGCGCGTACCAGGCCGGTACTAATTGCTTGTTGATGCACCCCGATCCGTGCAGGGTCGTGTACCGTGAGGACGTGTTCAGCGCTGCCTGTTTCGAATGCAGCACGCATTCCCGTCCGCGTCGTGTGATCTATGACGCAAGCGGCTCATTCTGAGTGGGTCTCGTCTCGCGGCCGCCTCTCGTTTGCAGCGCTGCGCTCAAGAACGGGTCCGTCGTCGCGATTCCTCACGGCGTGGACCGGTGCGGACCATCGATGCAGACAACTGCTCTTGTGCTCTCGAACTC